GAATTTTGGGAATAATGAGGGCAACAAATGTATAGATGTGCTTTCACAATTGATCTATGTATTGTGATGAATTGTATGCGCCCCAATAAATTGATTTAAAAAAAAAGATTCTTACTGCAAAGCAAAAATTACCGAAAAATATCATTAATATCACATGCAAGTAACTTTTTGCAGAGGATTCAAAACAGTCATAGCAAACTATTAGGGAACTGGATTCAGAAAAGGTTATGAAATAAGTAATTTTATTGCTGATGTCAGGTGAATCTTGACTGAAAGCAGAGAATACCAGAAAAAAAATGTTTATCTGTTTTATTGACTATACAATAGCATTCAACTGTATGGATCACGTCAAATTGGGTGTAACATTGTGAAGAATGGGAATTTAAGAACATTTGAATTGTGCTTATGCAGAACCTGTTTTATGCAGACCAAGAGGGAGTCCGACTAATAGAACAAGGAGACAGTGATTTAAAATCAGGAAAGGCTGTTTCCTTTCACCATACAACTGATGCAATCTGGGAGTGAGCAAGTAACCTGAGATATTGGACTATCAGAAGAAGAACGGCACCATCAAGACTGAAAGCAACCTAGTCCTTCCTCCTCATCTGTTGCAATGGTTGCAACAATAGGGTCAAACATACGAACAACTGTGAGAACTCCCCAACTCAACGCAGAGATTGGCAGAGCTTACTGATCAATCCATGTTGTTAAATGTAGCGCACATCTCTCTCCCTCTCGGCATCATTCAGCATGACACCGTTTATCATTCCTTATGAAAGCACTCTTGCCCCGTACATTTTCTGAACTCTTGTTCTCCTGATACTTCTCCCTACTGGTTCCTCCTCTCCTGTACTCAACCTTTAAATGTTGATATTTGAGTGAACCAGAAATCATTTGAGTCTGGTCAATTGCATAGTCTACCTAATTTTTTAAAATCATTTAAAATCATTTTATCATGGCAGCATTTCATTTTGTTGTACACAGCACTGCTATGAGTTAAAACCAATTCAAAGGCACCAAACAATAACAACAAAGTCTGTTCTTAGTCTGGAGGCTCACTGTGGGTGACCTTGCTGATATGTGAAATCCTGGCGGCAGAGCCTCTTGCATCACAGTAACAACCAAGCCAGTGCAGTATAACAAACCGAGAGGAGGGATATGGCGCCTTAGTCCCATAGAACGAATACATTTCTCTATAGTAGCTAGTGCCTTGCTTTGTGGGGTGGAAACATTATATACATACATCTACAAGGGAGCATTTAAGAATACTACCAAATTATGTACTGCAATAACTAGAAGCCCATATAACTAGAAGCCCATATAACCAGAA